TGTAGTGGAATATAGACTATTGGGGCATTTGGTGGTGGTCTGTAAACAGATGCTGGATGGCCATCTGTTGGGAGGGTTTTGGTTGTGTCCTCCTGCCTGGCAAAATGGGATAGGTTGAGTTTTGGGGGTCTCTTCCAACTGTAAGCTGTCTGGGTGTTTGGTGAAGGTCTTTAAACAGAGCCTGGATGGCCATCTGTCAGGAGGGTTTTGATTGTGTCTTCCTGCCTAGTAGTAGTAGTAGTAATAATAATAATAATAATAATAATAATAATAATAATAATAGAGTTAAAATAGAGCAAAATGGGATACGATGAGTTTTGGGGCTCCCTTCCAAGTGTAATGCAATCTAGACTGTTTGGGAGATTGGTGCAGATCTTTAAACAGAGACTGGATGGCCATCTGTCGGGAGGGTTTTGATTGTGTTCTCCTGCTTAGCAAAATGGGATTTGATGAGTTATGGGAGTCACTTACAACTGTAGTGGAATATAGACTATTTGGGCATTTGGTGGTGGTCTGTAAACAGATGCTGGATGGCCATCTGTCGGGAGGGTTTTGATTGTGTCCTCCTGCCTGGCAAAATGGGATTTGATGAGTTTTGGGGGTCTCTTCCAACCATAGTAGAACACAGATTGTCTGGAAGTTTGGTGGGGGTCTTTAAACAGAGGCTGGATGGCCATCTGTTGGGAGGGTTTTGATTGTGTCTTTCTGCCTAGCTAAATGGGATTCAATGAGTTTCATCCAGGCTCAATAATAATAATAATAATAATAATAATAATAATAATAATAATAAATAGAGTTAAAATAGAGCAAAATGGGATACAATGATTTTTGGGGCTCCCTTTTGGACTACTCTAATGCACCCTACTTGGGGATGCCCTTGGAAGCTGTTCAGAAACTCAGCAGGCTCAGGTCCCCACCTACACTGCAGTTGGAAGACAACAAAGGCCTACAAAAGCATGCAAATGAAATTTGTCAGTTGCAAAAGGCCACCCTACTGGGATGGCTGGATGGCCATCTGTCGGGAGGGTTTTGATTGTGTCTTTCTGCCTAGCAAAATGGGATTTGAGGAGTTTTGGGGGTCTCTTCCAACTGTAAGCTGTCTGAGTGTTCGGTGAAAGCCTTTAAACAGAGGCTGGATGGCCATCTGTCAGGAGTGCTTTGATTGTGCTTCTCCTGGACGACTTGGGTCGGACTAGATGGCCTCTTGACGCCTCTTCCAATTCAAATCCTATGTGCAATCCCAACCAGAAAGGCGTATTCTGTGCCAAAGAAAGGGGAGATTCCCCAAACGTGGGGGTCCCGCTGTGCCGGAGCGAAAGCCGGCTTTTGCCGCAGTGCGCAGTGTGTCACCTCGGAAGACCCCATCCGCACGCCCGCGACGCCCCCGCATGTTCCTCCTCATTCCCCGAACCTAGAGAGAGAGAAAAGGCAAAGACCCCCTCCTCCTTTCATTTCCTTTTGACGGGGAGGATTTTAATTCCGCTTAAGCGCTTTCGCCACAGCGGGTCGGGGTGCCGATGTGGAGTGGCGAGATAAGCCAAGGCCCACAGTGATGCCTGACACGTCTCGTTGCCGTTGTTCCGAAAAAGAGAGAGGACGAGAGAGGGATGAGTCACCACCTGTCGTGGGCAGAAGAAGCAGCAGCCGCCACGCTTTCGCCGAGAGCGAGAATGAGGACTATATATAAGGACGGGGAAAACGAGACACACGTCCGCACACAGACCCACAAGTCGGGGAAATTGAAGCACTTCTCTTCATGTGCAGCTGGGGCTTTTGTTCGGCCCCGAAACCCTTCTAAAAATACCCCCGAGCACGTCGAAAGATGGAAAGTCTGACCCATAGAAGAAAAGATAGAATCATAAGGTCAAAGGGGAGAACGCGCCACCATAAGAGACCAAAAATTTAATCTATGCTGACGATCGTGTCATCACCGCCCAAGCAGGGAGCTTTGAAATGGTCAGACAGAAGCTTGAGGTGGTCTTACTGCTCATTGCAGATGCTACAAAACAGGAGCTTTTTTGTTGAGTTCCAGGGTCAGAGAAGCAGAGAGAGAGTTTCATCTACGCTGACGATCGTGCCATCACCACCCAAGCAGGGAGCTTTGAAATGGTCGAACAGAAGCTCTCTGAAGCTTTAAATGGTCTTACTGCTCATTGCAGGGGAAACCAGATGCTACAAAACAGGAGCTTTTTTGTTGAGTTTCAGGGTCAGAGAAGCAGATGGTGAAAACAGAAGAACGGCCTGCCTCAGAAGAGCGTGCTTGCTCCATCCATGTTCAACATTTACACAAATGACCAGCCACTGCCAGAAGGGACAGAGAGCTTCATCTACGCTGATGATCGTGCCATCACCACCCAAGCAGGGAGCTTTGAAATGGTCAAAGAGAAGCTCTCCGAAGCTCTAGGTGCTCTTACTGCCTATTACAGGGAAAACCAGCTGATTCCTAATGTTTACATTTACACAACAGACCAGCCATTGCCAGAAGGGACAGAGAGTTTCATCTACGCTGACGATCATCACCGCTCAAGCAGAGAGCTTTGAAATGGTCAAACAGAAGCTCTCTGAAGCTTGAGGTGCTCTTACTGCCTATTATAGAGAAATTCAGCTGATTCCTAATGTTTAACATTGACACAGAAGGGACAGAGAGTTTCATGTACGCTGATGATAGTGCCATCACCGCCCAAGCAGAGAGCTTTGAAATGGTTGAACAGAAGCTCTCTGAAGCTTGAGGTGCTCTTACTGCCTATTAGAAGGAAAACCAGCTGATTCCTAATGTTTAACATTGACACAGAAGGGACAGAGAGTTTAATCTACACTGACAATCATGCCATCATCACCCAAGCAGGGAGCTTTGAAATGGTCGAACAGAAGCTCTCTGAAGCTTTAGATGCTCTTACTGCTTCTTACAGGGAAAACCAGCTGATTCCTGAATATCAGATATGCAGGGTCTATTTTCATTGACTGGACCAAATTTGGCACAAATACCCAATATGCCCAAATATGAATACTAGCAGGTTGGGGGGGGGGGGGTTGATTTTGTCATTTGGGAGTTGTAGTTGCTAGGATTTATAGTTCACCTATAATCAAAGAGCATTCTGAACTCCATCAACGATATTATTGAAGCAAATTTGGCACACAGAACTCCCCTGACCAACAGAAAATACTGGAAGGGTTTGGTGGGCATTACCTTGAGTTTGGGAGTTGTAGTTCACCTCCATCCAGAGAGCCCTGTGGACTCAAACAATGATGGACCTTGGGACGGATACTCAAAATGCCCAAATGTGAACACTGGTGGAATTTGGGGGAAATAGACCTTGATATTTGGGAGTTGAACTTGCTGGGATTTATAGTTCACCTACAATCAAAGAGCATTCTGAACTCCACCTGTGGGGAATGGAACCCAACCTGGCACACAGAACTCCCATGACCAACAGAAAATACTGGAAGGGTTTGGTGGGCATTGACCTTGAGTTTGGGAGTTGTAGTTCACTTACATCCAGAGAGCACTGTGGACTCAAACAATGATGGATCTGGACCAAACTTGGCTCAAATACTCAATATGCCCAGATGTGAATACTGGTGGAGTTTGGGGAAAATAGAACTTGACATTCAGGAGTCGTAGTTGCTGGGATTTATAGTTCACCTACAATCCAAGAGCTTTCTGAACCCCGCCGACAATGGAATTGAACCAAACTTCCCACACAGAACCCCCTTGCCTTGAAGGGTCTCGATGGCATGAGCCTCCCTTCAGCCTCGCATGCTTTCCCTCACCTGCACATGTGCATCATGTGTGGGAGAATAGGGGAGAACAGGCATGCTTGGTGCATGGCAGCATGGTGTGCATGTGCAGGTGGGGGAGAGCATACGAGGCTGAAGGAAAGCTCGAGCCATCAAGTCCCTTCAACCTCGTGTGCTCTCCCTCGCCTGCACATGTGCACCATGTGTGCATGAGGAGGTGAGAACAGGCGTGCTTGGCGCAAGGCAGCATGATGCTCATGCGTGGGCAAGGGAGAGCATGCGAGGCTGAAGGGAGGCTCAAGCCATTGAGTCCCTTCAACCTCACATGCTCTCCCTCGACTGCACATGCACACCATGTGCGGGCATGGAGGGGAGAGCAGGCATGCTTGGCGCATGGCAGCATGGTGCACATGCACAGGCGAGGGAAAGCATGTGAGGCTGAAAGGAGGCTCAACCCATCGAATCCCTTCAACCTCACATGCTCTTCCTCACCTGCACATGTGCACCATGTGCGGACAAGGAGGGGAGAGCAGGCGTGCTTGGTGCATGGCAGCATGGTGCATATATGCGAGCGAGGGAGAGCATGCGAAGCTGAAGGGAGGCTCGAGCCATCAAGTCCCTTCAACCTCGCGTGCTCTCCCCCATCTGCACATGCGCACCATGTGCAGGCGTGGAGGGGAGAGCAGGCGTGCTTGGTGCATGGCAGCATGGTGCATATGTACGAGCAAGGGAGAACATATGAAGCTGAAGGGAGGCTCGAGCCATCAACTCCCTTAAACCTCACATGCTCTCCCTCATGTGCACATGCGTACCATGTGGAGGCGTGGAGAGCAGGTGTGCTTGGTGCATGGCAGCATGGTGCATATGTGTGAGCGAGGGAAAGCATGCAAAGCTGAAAGGAGGCTCGAGCCATCGACTCCCTTCAGCCTCACATACTCCCCATCATCTGCACATGCGCATCATGCTGCCATGTGCCAAGCACACCTGCTCTCCCCTTCTAAACAGGAGAGATCTTCAACCTTCTCTGCCAAAGGGGTTCCTAAGACCACCAGAAATATATGTATCTGATGGTCTTTGGTGACCCCTTGTGACACCCCCCAGGGGTCCCGACCCCCAGGTTCAGAAACGTTGCTGTAGGGATTGCATAAATAATTTGCAGCACTAATTAAATAGAGCATGACACTGTTTGCAAATGCTTCAGTGGTACATTGGTGGAAAGGTGAGCTTTGGCACAAACCTCCCCACCTTCCCCGGGCACTTACCCAGCATGCCTTTGTTGGAGTCGGACAGGCACATGTCCTTCTCGGCGCTGGGCAGGACGAAGCCCACAACGAAGATCTCCACCCCGTCGGCCATGAGGGCCAGACCCAACACGAAGTAGAGCGTCCATTGGAAGCGCCCGTGGCCGCACTCCTGCAGGATGAGCTCGTACTGCTGGGCCAGCTCCTCCTTCTCCTTCTTCTTCTCCCCTTCCAGGTCCGCAAAGTCCCTGAACTCGCTCACCGCCTCTTGGTTGGCCGTCAAGGGCTCCCCGCCTTTCAGGGAGTCGTTGCGGGGAATGCCTTGGTACTCGCCCTCGTAGATCTCGTCATCCTCGTCGTGGCCTTCGGTGGCGTCGCTGGAGGCGCCTTCGTCGTCAACCGAGGGCTCTCCGCGGTAGTATCCGTCCTGGGGTTGGTAGTCGTCGTCATCATCCTCCTCCTCGAAGCGAGTGTAGGACCGCTTGGTGTACTCGTCCTGCATCCGGTCCACGCCTTTGCCCACTTTCTTGGTGGCGTGCTTCTTCACCTCTTTGGCGATGTCCTTCGCCCCGCGGATAAAGGCGGTCCGGTCTTTGAAGCCTTCGTCCATGGTGCACTGTTGAGCGACGTCTGGATGTGGAAGGAAGCCTTCTCCGCCGGGGAGCTTCTCGCTTGTTTCAGAGGGTCTCCCAGCCACCCCACTTCTAAGCTAACAGGGGCTTAGGGATAGCGAAGGATCTCTTCTTTGAGGGCCCCGAACCACAACCCCCATCCGTTTCCAGTCTCCGTTGGGGAAGCCAAAGTCTCAGAGAAGTGGATCGGCACAGAAATGGCCCTGCAAAGAACGACACAAAACAAACCCAGGACATCATCACACACATTAAAACCCATACGTGGCGTATAGGACAATTCCTATATGGGAGAGAGATGTAAACAAGCCAAAGTCTCTGAGAAGTGGATTGGCTTCTTTGGATGGCACGGAAATGGGCCTGCAGAGTATGATAGAAAACAAACCCAGGACATCATCACACGCATTAAAACCCAAACATGGCATATGGGACAATTCGTATATGGGGGAGACATGTAAACAAGCCAAAGTGTCCAAGAAGTAGATCGGCTCCTTTGGATGGTGTGGAAATGGCAGAGTACAACCCAAAACTAACCCAGGACATCATCACACACATTAAAACTCAAACGTGGTGTATTAGACAATTTGTATATGGGAGAGACATGTAAACAAGCCAAAGTTTCTAAGAAGTAGATCAACTCCTTTGGATGGTGCGGAAATGGCCCTGCAGAGTACAGCACAAAACAAACCCAGGACATCATCACACACATTAAAACCCAAACATGGCATATAGGACAATTCGTATATGGGAAAGACATGTAAACAAGCCAAAGTCTCCAATAAGTGGATCGGCTCCTTTGGATGGTGTGGAAATGGCAGAGTACGACACAAAACAAACCCAGGACATCATCACATGCATTAAAACCCAAATGTGGTGTATAGGACAATTCGCATATGGGAGAGACATGTAAACAAGCGGAAATGGCCCTGCACCGAATGACACAAAACAAACCCAAGACATCATCATTAAAACCCGAACGTGGCGTATAGGACAATCTGTATATGGGAGAGATATGTAAACAAGCCAAAGTCTCCGAGAAGTGGATCGACTCCTTTGGATGGTGCAAAAATGGCCCTGCACAGAATGACACAAAACAAACCCAGGACATCATCACACACATTAAAACCCAAACGTGGCGTATTGGACAATCCGTATATGGGAGAGACATGTAAACAAGCCAAAGTCTCTGAGAAGTGGATCGGCTCCTTTGGATGGCGCAGAAATGGCCCAGGACAAAATGACACAAAACAAACCCAGGTCATCATCACACGCATTAAAATCCAAACGTGGCATATAGGAAAATTTGTATATGTGACCAACATGTCAACCTAGTAGAGACAAACTTGGTGAAACTGGGAACCAGCTGACTTGGGGACATCATGTAAACACTGTACAGACAAGCCTGGTGAAACTGGGAACCAGTTGCCTTGGGCACACCTTGAGAAATGTATACGCTGCGTGGGGTCCCGTTTTGAGAAAAGCAACATACAAATTCAGTTGATACATAATAGTACATCCCATAAAGACAGCAGGAGTAAAAAAACAGACACACTAGATATTCTCACAGAATCTGTTGAGAAGACCTTGAAGTCCAGGTGTATTCGACATGATGTCATGGGTGCACGGTGGCGCTTAAATTAAATAATCAGTCTTCAAGCCTGAAGTCCAGGTGTGTTAGGCATGATGTTATGGGTGCATGGAGGAGTTTAAATAATCTGGCTTCAAGCCTGAAGTCTAGGTGTGTTCAGCATGATGTCATGGGTGCATGGAGGCGTTTAAATTAAATAATTTGGTTCTCCCAACAAAGGATTCCCCTGGGTGGAAGCATCCAGGCTTTGAAGCTGCGAGGCTATTCAATACTAATCAAGCTGGCCATTTGCAGCATTCACGCTTGCCTCAAACGGAGGCGAAAGCAAGCAAGGCGCCGAACAAGTCTGTCTCCTTCCAAGCACCTTGAATCCGTTCCTGGTGCCAATAGAGGCGTGTGTTAAAAAAATCTCCAAGCGCCAGACAGATGGCAAGAGGAACCGAATGGCAAGGAAACAAATCAGGGGGCCATTAGCGGCAATGAAAAGGCGCCCGGTTCAGCTGGGGAGACATAAACATGCTCTCGTAGAGTTTTAATAGACTTGTTATTCATGAACTACTGCCGGGTGCCATCCAAGCCGTGCCTCGCAGTTCAACGCATGGACCCTACGCCTTCCTTTCGGAGGGACACGTTCCCTCCCCATATAAACATCCCTAAGATTGGGGTGCGCCTTAGAACCCCAAGTGCTTTCAAAGATAGATGAATAAAGCTTGGGTTTTTTTGTGTTGACGGTATTGAAATTCGTCTGCGTCTTACAATCGGTGGCATCATAGACTTGGAAGAAATATAGTGTATATACAGTCGTCCCTCCACATTTGTGGTTTTTGACTTTTTCCAGATTGAAAGTGTTGCCAATTTGATGGATCGATGATGGATAGACAGCTAGAGACACAGATAGATAGATGATAGATAGATAGATAGATAGATAGATAGATAGATAGATAGATAGATAGATAATAGATAGATAGATAGATAGACAGATAGGAGAGATAGATAGATCGATAGATAGATAGATAGATAGATAGATAGATAGATAGATAGATAGATAGATGTGTAGGTGGGTGGATGGGTGGGTAGGTGGGTAGGAGGGAGGGTGGGAGGGTAGGTAGTTAGGTAGGTAGGTGGATGGATGGATGGCTGGATGGATAGATAGGTGGAGGGATGGATTTATGGATGGATAGGTAGATGGATGGATGGATTTATGGATGGCTGGATGGATAGATAGGTAGATGGATGGATTTATGGATGGATGGATTTATGGATGGATAGGTAGATGGATGGATGGATTTATGGATGGTTGGATGGATAGATAGATAGATGGATAGATGGATGGATGGGTGGGTGGGTGGGAGGGTGGGTGGGTAGGTATGTTGGTAGGTAGGTAGGTAGATAGATAGATAGATTAGATAGATGGACAGATAGGAAGATAAATTGATGGATAGGAAGATAGATAGATAGATAGATAGATGGATGGATGGATGGATGGATGGATGGATGGATGGATGGACAGACAAACAGACAGGAAGGTAGATAGATAGATAGATAGATAGATAGATAGATAGATAGATAGATAGATAGATAGATAGATAGATAGATAAGATAAGATAGAATATATACACATAGATAGATAGATAGATAGATACATAGATATAGATAGATAGAGAGATAGAGAGATAGATGATAGATAGATAGATAGATAGATAGATAGATAGATAGATAGATAGATAGATAGAGATAGATAGATAGATAGATAGATAGATAGATGATAGATAGATAGATAGATAGATAGATAGATAGATAGATAGATAGATAGATGATATAGATAGATAGATAGATAGATAGATAGATAGATAGATAGATAGATAGATATAGATAGATAGATAGATAGATAGATAGATAGATAGATAGATATAGATAGATAGATAGATAGATAGATAGATAGATCGATAGATGGACAGAAAGACAGATAAATGGATAACTGGATGGATAGGAAGATAGATAGATGAGAGAGAGAGAGAGTGATAGGAAGATAGATAGGAAGATAAATAGACACATAATGGACTGATGATTGATAGATATCTTATATAGACAGCTAACTAGATAGATACCAATACATAGCTAGATAGATTATAGAGATGATAGCTATAGATCAATTATTGACAGATATCTATAAACAGATAATGGATCAATCATAGCTAAAGACTGATAATGGATCGATGTCTGATAGATAACTAGAGACAGACAGACAGATAGATAGACAGACAGATAATAGACAGAGATGATAGCTATAGACAGATTATTGATAGATACCTACAAACAGATAATGGATCAATCATAGCTAAGGACTGATAATGGACCGATGACTGATAGATAACTAGAGACAGACAGATAGATAAATAGGAAGATACATAGATGGATGGATGGATGGATGGATAGATAGATAGATAGATAGATAGATAGATAGATAGATAGATAGATAGATAGATAGACAGACAGAGATGATAGCTATAGACAGATTACTGATAGATATCTATAAACAGATAATGGATCTGTCATAGCTAAAGACTGATAATGGATTGATGACTGATAGATAACTAGAGGCAAACAGACAAACAGATAGAAAGATAGCGACAGATAGATGATAGATAGAGATTATAGTTATTGATAGATTGCTATAGACAGATAATGGATCAGTCATTGATACACAGCTACAGATAGATAGACAGAAAGATAGATAGATAGATAGAGAGCGATTATAATTTATTATAATCTATTATTATCCTTATTATTATTATTATTATTATTATTATTATTATTATTATTATTATTTTACTGACACACAAACACAGAATGTCACAACAAATGAGATCTATATGCTGGATTTCATATCACAAAATCATAAGTCAAACACTTCCCAAGCATCTAGGACATTGTGATATTATTATTATTATTATTATTATTATTATTAATGAAAGGAAACCCTGATTTTCAGTGTGAGCAGTTCCCACAACAGATGGCCATAATACGAATCAAGGTTAAGGAAAAAGTGGAAAAGCGGAAAGTGATTACGGCAGAAATGTGATCAAAAACCCCCGGCAGACTCCATCTCTCTCCCTTTGCACACTGCGCGGAAAAGGGCCATCCGTCAAAAATAGATAAGTGGTGGATGGGCCTATTTATAGCCTATGGATCAACCCAATTTAGCCTCCTTTCGAGCGATTTCCCAGCTCCATCTTATCAGTCAAAGCTTTGGAACCCTGGGGAGCAACTCTGCATGTAGACTCATAGAATCTTAGTCAGAGACACTGGGATGCCTGTGGTGGAGGAAACATGGAAGAGACCTGGTGGGCCACCCAGTCCAACCCCAAAACATTGTTGACTCATGTTTAGATGATCACATATTTATGTTTAGATGATCACATATCTCTTCTTCAGGCTAAACATGCCCAGCAGCTCTTCCAGCCGCTCCTCATAGGGTTTGTTCTCCAGACCCTTGATCATTTTAGTTACCCTCCAGCTTCTCAACATTTTCCTTCAATTGTGGGTGTCCAGAATTGGACACAGTGTGAATCCAGGTGTGGTCTGACCAAGGCAGAATAGAGCATGGGGAGCATGACT